TTTACAGTGGTGGTGTAAGTTTCTTTTTAGAATAACATTCATTTCCATAAAAAAGAAACTGATAGGAAGAAAAATATAAAGCCATGATAGCATAGATGATACTCAGATCTGACAAAAATGATGAGACAGGACCAAAGTTTGAGAAACACTGGGTTATGGGATCATAAAACTGGGAACGTTAGCTAGAAAATGCCTACTTCTACCTAGTTTTACAGATGAGGAAACTGAAGTCTGCAAAGGTAAAGGTGAGGGTGAGTGCTCCAGGGAAGCCAGCAGACAGTGAAAAGAGAGCTGAGACCCCAAGTCACTGGGGCCTGAGGGCTGCCTGCTCCTTGTTGAGAGGGAGAGACAGGTGTAACACGTGTTGAAGACAAGCCAGCACTTATGAGAGACTTTCTCAATGTGAACTCAAGGATGGGAAGGGAACCAAAGAAGGGATGACTTTCTCACTAAGGAAAATGAAGTCATTTGATGTCACGGCATGACTAGATGACCACACTCTGGAAAACATGACAGAGGAATAGAGAAACACATGAGCAGGAGCATAACTCACAAATTAGGACTGTAACTCCTACTAATTCATGTCTGTGTGGCACCATCACCAAATAAACACAGACCCATGCATAGGAGCCTTCTCTGTCCCACCCACAGGGCTGGCTATCCCATCAGTATGGCAGCCACAAGCCACATGTGGCTACGGAGCACTCGAAATGGGGCAAGCCCAGGTTGAAATAGGCTATAGGTGTAAAACACACATTGTGCTTTGACATATTTTTTAAGAAGAATGTAAAGTATCTCATGAATAAATGCTTCATGTTGATTACATGTTGAAATAATGTTTGGGATATATTGAGTTAATTGAAATATACTATTAAAATTAATTTCACCTGTTTTTACTCTTTTACTGTAGCAGCTAAAAAACTGTAAATTACATATGTGAGTCCCTTTCCATGTCTGCTGGATGGGGCTGATAGAGGCCACTTATTATATTTTTTTAAATCTTCAAGAAAAGCAACTGCAAATGCCACTTTGCACCTGCTGGGATGTTTCTTTTTTAAAAGAATCCTGTGGTTGACAGTTTTATAGACACTTTACATAGAAACAATATTATGGAACTGTGTCATGCCTATGTATAGCCCTGCGGCATTGTTGAAATCTGTGCTTCATCAACAGACCTGAGCAAAGATAATGTACTGAGGGAAACAATTTTAACTAAAAGTTCCTCCCACACTTTCACATCCGTGGACAGAGGACAAAACAAACCTGTCTCTTAGTGCCTCATGTTTCAAGTCAAGAAGTAAAGGAATTGAGTCTTTGAATGCCTTCATTTTCGCTTCCAAGTAGTAGGCCACTGATAAGCCACGGACTGACCGAGGTAGCTTTCTGAGAGCCCTGAGAAAACCTTCAATTCCTTCCTGGAGAATCTGCACATTCAGATTGATCCAAAGGGTCTGAGACCATTCTTCTTTTGCAACCTGGAAACATGCAAGAAACAACTCCATGAACAAAGACCCCTTTGGAAATGCAACAAGGAGAGCAAGTTCTTGACTCTGTCACGTTCAGACATTTTAAAGTATTACCCATATATCTACAACTACCTGAAATTTACAAACAAGGGGTTGACTACAAGGATCTAAAACAATAAGGAAAGGATTCCACTTTTTGTAAGCTTTTGCAAAAATAATGCTGCATCTGAGGATGTGCAGGATCCAGAAATATGTTTCCCTTTTTTTTTTTTTTTTGAGACGGAGTCTCACTCTGTAACCCAGGCTGGAGGGCAGTG